TAATAATAATAATAATAATAATAATAATAATAATAATAATAATAATACACTTTACAGTCGGGGACTGGCCTTCTTTCTGTCTCTCTCATTTTCTTTAATAACAGCATTTAATAACTGAGCATTTAATGCAGAAATTACTTTCTTAATTCACTTCAAATGCTATTGGCTACTATAAGGCATGAGAATTTCTCACACTGCCTGGACGTCCTTGAGCTTTGTATCCCAGTCAGTTCTTAAATGGTTCTCTGACTGACCTTGCAAAGTTGCCCCTGGGACTGCCTGCCACTTGAGAAAAAACAGAAGTGTGGGAGAGCCTTAAAAAAATTGCTGGCGGTGATTGACATCTCGTTCATCCCAAGAGGGAGATTTAGGGATCAAATGAAATTCTGAATTATGGTTATCATAAACGCGCCTTTTAAAAATAGATATATAAGTAATGTAATCACCAGAGTTTTCTGGACTTCAATCTGTCCTCAGGATCCGCAATAGCATGGCGTGGACCTCTTCATCCATGTACCCCTGCATTGGAGAAAAATAATGTAGATTCTAGCATCAATGGCCTACAAAGGGATTTCCCTTCAAAGCAAACACCCATTGTTACATTTCTTTGCCAGAAACAAATCGGTAGTGGTCGTCCTTGACCATAATTGGGAGCCGTGGTGGCATAGTGGTTTGTGATGACTCAGGGTGGGATACAAAATAAACACAGTCACAAAAAAACAGCGGAAGCCCCTTTTATTCCTTCACTTTGCTTCAGAGCTCCAAATATCCTTGACTGGAGACAAAAACCTCCCCCACAAGCAGTTATGAAAAGGAAGAAATGCCGTTTAAACTAAAAATGCCTATAAATTATAAAGAGTAAAAACAACACAAACCACACTGAAGCAATTAAGGGAACCAGGCAAGATAAGGGCTTGAAGATGTCCACAGATATCGGAACACACACTAGGAAGGACGCCAAACACAGAGAGGAACGACAGACTAGAGATATTTCCATGCTTTGTTTCCAGCACTGGCCCATACGCATGTCCATCCTTTTAACCAGTTCTCACAGCTGCAGTCCATGAAGAGGATCAAGGCCCTTTCCTCCCCCGTAGACTATGCCATTCACCTCTCTCCCTTATCCTCTCCTCCCTGCGTGCCCTAGGATGGAGAGGGGATGGGCCTGGGTCTTCCTCTGACTGCCCAACTTCCTCCATAACTTCCGGAGCTACACTTCCACTCCCTGTCAGCTGTTCTGCCTCTCCCTCGCAGTCAGACTCCAACAGAGGCATGACATGGTTAGAGTGCAGTATTGCAGGCTGACTCTGCCCACAGTCAAGAGTTCGATCCTAACCAGCTCAAGGTTGACTCAGCGTTCCATACTTCCGAGGTTGTTGGGGGCAAGAGGCTGACTCTGTAAACCGCTTAGAGAGGGCTGCAAAGCACTGTGAAGCGGGATGTAAGTCTAAGTGCTCTTGCTATTCTATTCTTTAATTCCATTCTATTCTCTATTCATTCTATTTTATTCTATAGAGAAAGGGGGAAGAGAGAGAGAAAGTGGGAGAGAGGGAGGGAAGAGAAAGAAAGAAAGAAAGAAAGAAAAGAAAGAAAGAAAGAAAGAAAGAAAGAAAGAAAGAAAGAAAGAAAGAGGAGGAAAAGAGGGAGAGAGAAGGAGGGGGAGAGAGAAAAGAAGAGAGGGAGAGGGGGGAGAAAGAAAGAAAGAAAAGACAGAGAGAGGGATGGGGGAGAAAAAAAAGAAAGGGGACAGAGAGAACAAGAGGGGAGAGAGGGAGAGAGAGAAGGAGAGAGGGAAAGAGAAAAGAGTGGAAGAGAGACAAAGGGAGAGAGAAAAGAGAGAGAAAGTGGGAGAGAGGGAGAGAAGAGAAAGAGAGAAGGAGACAGGAGGAAAAGAGAGAGAAAGGGAGAAGAAAAGAGAGAGAGAGAAAGGAGGGAGAGAGAGAGAGAGAGAGAGAGAGAGAGAGAAAGCTGCTAGAAACTCCCCTCTGCCTTACCTGGGCTGCATTGAGCAGGTGAGTCCTATATATGGCCACGATCTCTTGGTGGTTCTTTTGTGCAACCTGAAATAAACCAAGAGAAGGGATGAGAAACGGCCCACGGAGATCACCAATCAGCAGCCCCATACGGGCCATTCTCAACTTATGACCATATCAGAGGTGGGTATTCAGTCGGTTCTGACCAGTTTTGAAGAACCGGCCAATCCCACCTCTGACTGGAGATTTGACAGTATCCTTCCCCTGCCACGCCCACCAAGCCATGCCCACAGAACCAGTAGTAAAAAATTTTGAATCCTACCACTGGACCACATGATCCTTTCAGACATGATAGCGGTATTCCAGTATTTGAGGGACTTTTATAAAGAAGAGGGGGTCAAATTATTCTCCAAAGCCCCAGAGGACAAGAAATAATGGTTTGAAACTAACCAAAGAGAAAAGCAACCTGGAATTAAGGAGAAATTTCCTAGCAGTGAAGACAATTAACCAGTGGAACAGAAGTTGCCTCCAGAAGTTGTGGGTGCTTCATCACTGGAGGCTTTCAAGAAGAGACTTGTCTGAAAGTGGCTGGACTAGAAGACCTCAGAAGGTCCGTTCCATTCCATTTATTCTTCTTCTTATTTTCTAATTTTTATCCTATTCTACTTTGGAAAAAGCGCAAAGAAGAGTAATTAAGATATTATAATAAAAAAAATTCTGGAATGTGCAGAGATGGATAGGTTAACCCTAAAAATTAAAGGAGAAGGAGATTCAGTCTATTTCATAACATGGGAACTATTCTATAAATGGCTAAATGACAGATAGATTAGAGGAGTGGAATTGGGAGAAATATGGTTTATAGGAGAAAGACAGACAGATGAGTAAATATTTCTGACGGTTATATAATCGATACTATAATGGAAGATAATATATGTTATAATATGATTGATGTTATTGCATATTTGTTTATGTACCGGTATATGTATGTATGTATGTGTATGTATATGTATATGCAGGTCTTGGCGTGTTTGGGTTTTTTCCCGTGTAAGATTGAGAGTATCTTGGCAACATTTCGATGAGGTCCCACTTGCCATCTTCAGGCTGGTGCTTTCGGCTTGCTTACAACAGAACCAGCACACCACACCTCCCCACCATTATATATAGGGAGATGGCAGCTCTGATCACGATTTACTCGCACAAGCACGAAGCCGAAAGCACCAGCCTGAGGATGGCGAGTGGGACCTCATCGAAACGTTGCCAAGATACTCTCAAAATTACACGGGAAAAGACCTGAACATGCCAAGACCTGCTTACCTGTACCCATGAAAATCTACAAAAACATATGTATAAATATAAATAATATAAATATAAATAATATAAATATAAATATATAAATATATTTATGTTTAATATGTTTATAAATATGTTTGTATGTACCTTGGACACCTAGAGAGCACACTGCTCAACATGGAAAGGAAATGTATGATATAAAACAATAAAAATATTTTTAAAAAAGACTAAAACATATGAACAACGGTTGCAGGAATTGGATATGGCCACCTAGAGAAAAAAAGATTAAGGGTTGACATGGTAGCAGTCTTCCAAGCATTTGAGGGGCTGCCCCAAAGAAGAGGGGAGGGTCAATTTATTCTTCAAAGCACCAGACAAGAAACAATGGATGGAAACTGATCAAGGAGAGAAGCAACCTGGAATTAAGGAGAAACTTCCTCACAGTGATTCCTGACTTTTTTGGCTGCAAAAATCTTGGTAGGGATCGCCAGGACCAACTTGCTGGCATATTACAAATGGCAGCCCTCGAATCGTTTCGTGTCGCGAGTGTCACACGCTTACTCCAAGTCCTGCGCGACTCACCTCGTTCTGCAGGATGAGCCGGGTGCGTTCGCTCCGTAAGTTGAGGATTTCACTTGAGAGCTTCTCCGTTTCCTTCAGCAACTTCTTGATCTGAGGGAAAACCAAAGCAGACAGTATGGGCAGCCCTCGGCTTACAACCTCAAATGGGAACCCAACATTTCTCTTGTTAAGAGAGACAGTCATTCGGTGAGTTTACAACCTTTCCCACCATGGTCATGAAGTGAAGCACTGCAGGAACCCAGTTGTCAAATGAATCCAGCTTCCCTGTTGACTTTGCCGGTCGGAAGGGTCGTAAAAGGGGATCACGTGACCCCCGGGATATTGCAACCGTCATAAATACGAGTCAGTTGCCAAATGCCTAAATTTTGATCATGTGACTGTTGGGGATGCCACAAAGGCCATAAGCATGAAAAACGGTCATAAGTCACTTATTTCAATGCCGTTGTAAGTTTGAACAGTCGCTAAATGAATGTGTCAACTCATAAAATATTTCTATGGTCTTTTTAGAGTTGCCAGCAGAAAAGGAGGGATGGAAAAGGGATTTGAAAGAGCAATGCGGCAGTTTGGAAATTGAAAGTGCATTCCATAAATGTTTTCAAAGATAGTAACTA